GCGTCCTTGTTACTACTAGTAAGGCACCTGTTACTACTAGCGTGGCACTTGTTCCTACTAGCTTCTTGTTACTACTAGTAAGGCACTTGTTACTACTAGCGATGCACTTGTTCCTAGTAGCTTCCAGTGACTTGATGCAGGTCCATGCAGGTTCGCCCCCTTTGACTTCGACTCTTTGTAATCGAAGTGGAACACCATGAAACACCCTGTCGGCTTGTCGACTAAAGAGGTTGGGAAGCTATAGTCTTCCCCGAAGCCATTGTCCACTTGCATGTTTGTCAGTGAGAGTGTCGCTTTCCTGGACACTGCGAGAATCATGTTCATGTATGTTCATGTGACATTTGACCCCAAATGACCCCAATCGAAAAAGGACCGGGGCATCATCATGCGACTTTCTGACTGTCCTGTCAGCGTTCGAGGTTGCACTCAAGGAGTGGGTGAAGAAGAATGTGGGGCTCAAGAGCCAGGGCAAAGAGCTTTGGGTCCGAGCTGTTCAAGCTAAAGTCACCGGCCATTCGTGGCAGAGTATGCAGACACTCGGCGACGAGACGACTGGCGATGTCCCATTTTTGGCGATGTGTTGGTGTGTGGTGTGTGTGTGTGTCCACACCTGTGCCTAAGGTTTTGAGTGACAAAGAACGCTACTAGGGCCCCTGGTTTTGCTACTAAGGGCCCCTGGTATCGCTACTAATATATAGTTTCTCAACGCAGAAAAAAAAGGCAGGGGGCTCGTGGACGCATGGATGGCACGAGCCAACGAAGACCCATCCATGTCGTCGTGATACCAGACCTGACGAGTCTGGCGTACCTGCTCGAATTTTTAACCCGCTCAAAGGCCTCCAGCCTTTCAATCCAAAGAACATTGTTATAACACCTTCAAATCCGCGGACCCATCACCTTTCCTTTTGCGCTTTTTCAGTCAAGGTCTAATGCGTGTAAAGTGGGGCTTCATACTGATCCTAGCTCTTGCGAGCAACAATCTAAGTGTGTTTTCGCCACAGGGTCCCACTGAGGGCTGTGGTGTGATCCCCGACAAGGGGCGCTGCATGTGCACAGGCCCAGATCCTGGGGGATCCACTCTGATTGCTTCGTCCTTGCACTGGAACTTCATTTTGAACACCCATCGATCGACCGTTCTGCACGATACCACTGATTTCATGCCGCAGGGCTTACTGTGATTCAAACTCTGGATTTGCACCATCATGGAAGCATGTGTCTAAGTATTCACAGGCGGGATTTAGCACAGTACTTCAGGCAGGGTACAAGTTCATGTGCTTTTGTTGCATGTGCTTTTCATGCTCTTCGGTTCTTTCTCTCCTTGTGTTGCTTTTCGTTTCTTGAGGCCTTTCTTTAGGTTCCAGGTGTCTTTCAGACAAGGGGTGCGCCGGCCCAAATCGGCTTTACCTGAATGCCAATGATGGCAGTGCCTGCGGGCCACCCTAACCCACCCTCCCCCCTACCTCCCTGGTTGTGGGCCTCGGTTGCTATCCCACCCGCTATTCGGGCAACAGAAGGAAATCGCACTCAACACACTTGTGTGTTGGTGCCTTTCCTTCTGTTTCTCCTACCCTATTGCTAGCTACCCGGGCGGTTTAAGACAAAATGTCCCGCTCGCTTTCTACTTTCATTTAATTAAGTGGGCCTCGTAACTACACCTATTTTTCCTTCTTGCCCTCTTAGTCTGCTTTTGTTTTGTTTGCTTTTTCTGTCTTTCTACGGCTTTTTAGGTCGCTAGTAGTTTTCAAAAAAACACCAATATTGGCGCTATGTGTACAAAGCTTTGCGACCGGCGGACACAAACGATGCTACTAGGGGCTTCTGGCCTCGCTACCAGGAGCCAGGACGGTACTACCGGGACCTCTCTCCTGGTATCGCTACAGACATATAGCTTCTCAACGCAGAAAAGAAGCAGCGGGCTCGTGGACGCATGGATGGCACGAGCCAACGAAGACCCATCCATGTCGTCGTGATACCAGACCTGATCAGTCTGGCGTACCTGCTCGAATTTTTAACCCGCTCGAAGGCCTCCAGCCGTTCAATCCAAAGAACATTGTTATAACACCTTCAAATCCGCGGACCCATCACCTTTCCTTTTGCGCTTTTTCAGTCAGGGTCTAATGCTTGTAAAGTGGGGCTTCATACTGATCCTAACTCTTGCGAGCAACAATCTAAGTGTGTGGGGAGAGATGTGGGCCTCAACAAAAACATGTAGAAACACTCAACTCACATTTTCAGATTTGTGAGAATGGACACTCAATTGCTGCACGGTGTGGTGACCTGGTGGGTTGCAAGACCAACACATTTTTACATTCCGGAGATTAGTGGCAAGGTTTCTTGGGGAGAGTAGATGGTGTTTTGACAAAACTGGAAATAATGAGTTGAAGTGCCTTCCGAGTGGATCATATTGTCAGATCTGGCCGTGCACGTGCAGGCAAAACATGCATAAAAAACAAAACAAAATTTCCCTCTATCGATCCTTCCGTCCATCCGTCCGTCCATCCAACCATCCATCGCAAGGTCTAAGATGTTGCAAGCCTTGTTTCCGGTGAGAACGCAATACAGTACTGCTCGGGTCTCTTCTTTTCTCCTGACTATGGTGACCTCAAACTCCTTATATAAACCGACAAAGGCAACAATTTTGTGTTGACTGTCCCTGGAACCCCATTCTTCAGTCCACGGAACTGCCCACCGCCTTGAAACCGCCAGACAACCCCCACCATGGCAGATCATTTGCAGTTGGAGGCCAGCCTGCCATTGAATTCCCTCACTGGTCCTGTGAGGAATCGCTACCGAAGACATTTGAAACCCAAGAAGGGCCAAGCACTGCGGAAGTCCCTGGCTCTGGGGGCACGGCCGACCGGTGTGGAAGACATCGAGGACTTCTCCCAGAGATCTGGGGACCAGTCAAAGGCTGGAAGAAAAGGAAAAACGAACAAAGATTCGGGAGACAGCAAGGCCAGTAGAGACGCAACTTCTGGGGTCCCTGAGATCACTGACTGAATCGGTTTGATAACCATACATAAGTATTGTGGATTGAATGTACTGTACCAGTTTCTGGGTGCACTCGAACGAAACAGCTGACTGCCGCTGGAGGTGAACCCAGCAGCTCCCAGTCGGGTGCGAAGCGCTGCCAGGGGCTCCTTGTAACTCGGATGAAACCAGAGGGTCGTCACCCATTTGCCACCCACTGGAACATCCCCCTCCACCTCTCCCATGGGAAGAGGGTTTTGCATCCAGGGAGCGCATCTTAGGGGACAAAGGCTATTTTGCGAGAATGGTCAGTAAAGAAGTTGGTTTGTCGTAATTATGGTATATTATATATATTATGCTTGCATCCAGGTGCAGTATGTTTTTTTTGGTGGGTATATAGGCTACAGAACTGTGAACTATTCAAGAACTCAGAACCAAAGAACCACTAATTTTTGCTGTATAATGGAAAGTGGATGCATATGCTGCGGAATTACATGGTTTACTATATAAGTTTATTATAGTATATGAGACTGTTAGTCTAGAGGTTGCGCGAGGCCTTGCTCTTTCAACCAGCTGGCTGAGACTTCGTTGTAGTACAGCACCCTTCTCGGAGTCACGTAAGAAGTGCCAGCAAACTACTCCAAGCCGCAGGCCAACTTGCTTTTCCTCCTGTTTCCCAGTCTTCACGCCCCAAAGCCCCAAACCTCCAAAAGATCCAAAACGCCGCATCTAACAGTTACTAGAACACTTTATTGTTACAGCGATGGCCTCCAACCTAATAGCAATGGCCTCCAGCCTAGCTTCTGAAGCTAGGCTCTATAGTTACAAAGATCATGCATGTTCGATTCTGGTCCGTTCGCATCTTTCCGGCTCCAGGACCGACGCACAAGTGGCCAAGATGCGTCGCCGCAGCCAGGCCACGCGGCCCAGACCTGAACCAGGTACCGGTCGCGCGACCGGTGGAGCGCTTCAACCGAGCACGAGCGCCGTTCTCGGCGCTTCCACGCACTCCTTGCCCCTCTTCTGGGGCGTGCCGACTCGGATCTTGGAGCGACAGGATGTGCAGACGCCTGTGGATGCTGAGATGGACAATCAGAGGTTTTGTGATGTTTTGTGATGTTTTGTGTGCATCCTTTTTTTGTTGGGGGGTGGGAGGCAACAAGAGCGTGAACATAGGGTTGCCTTTGGCGGAAGGTAGTGTTTCATGCATGCAGGAACACTTGCCGAGTTCAGGACATGACTTACATTTGAAGCTGTTGACCGTGCGGGTTTTGTCCTAGAAGGCGTTTGGCTTGCTTGGGGTCAGCTCCCAGTCTGGAGTTTGGATAATTCGTGGCTGCTATTGGGGTCCTGCAGTCAAGACATGGCTGCATCTGGTGGCTGTCCATCAGCGAGAAACCATACGAAGCTTCGGATGTCTCTCGTGAACAACGTGTGGACACCTGCAGATGTACAGGAGAGGTTTACTTGACAGTGATGCAAAAAGCTGGATTCAGGGAAAGATGACACGGTTTGCCCCCGGGCTTGGGGAAACGATGAAATGGGTACACCTCTCTTTTGCTAGGTGGGGGCTACTGTATGTTGGTGGTGTGGCGGTATGATTATCGTGTATGGGCGAAACTTCGCAGAGCAAAAATGGATCATTGGCGACGAGTTGCATGACTTCTTGTGGTGAACCACTCCAGACCACCGGCCCTGACCAGTCTACACCCCAAACGTTTTCATGCACTTCCCGCGCCAAACCAATATCGACCCCAAATGGTTTCGTTGGTGGGAAGGGTCTTCCAAAAGCTGGTGGAGAACCTAACTTGCGTGGTGAGGGCTCTGAAGATTTGGAGGTGTGCATTTAAAAAGCGGACCCAGCAAGCAGCATATATGCAATAATTACGCATCCACCACGCAACACTTCTAGATCACCAGTCACGAAACACGACCTCACCACGCAAGAAGAAACACATCCCGTGGCCTACCATCCGTGCCTTTTCTCCGCCGTTTCTCGGCTCTGAGAATTGTGGATATCTCGTGCCTTCTGCCCTTCTGGGGTCGAGGTCCGAGAGCACAAGGTGCGCGCATGACGATTGGAATGCCGCCAGTGGTTTCAGAGCAGCACGCAACAAGAGAAGATATATGATACAGATGTTGTTAGTGCTTGGCTGGGACTTGTGAACATTTTTTTGGGGTGGCACAGATCATATAGAGGTGGATGGCGCTACAAGAATCCAGCACCAAGAACCATCACGTTGACGGCAAGGGATGCATTTTGGATTTCAGAACAATCTAGACCGGCGTCATGTTAGACATCAAGTACAATCTAGACCGGTGGATGCAGGTGTTGATTGCATGTTGATTGCACTCTTTTGCTGATCTTTGTATCGATCATTGAATATCATTGATAATTATTCATTAATGTTTCTTTGGGAGGATCTCTCATGATTGGCTAGTCATTTGTTCAGACCACCCATTCTTATAGTTTCACCATGCTTCACCTGCTTCAATTTGAGCTTCTCAGCTTTTTTACGGATCTCTTGGTCTCCTCCAACCACACGAAACCACCGCGTGCTTGGTCGTGGTGACTCCGCCCGGCGAGTCCGCCAGGTTACGCTCGACTTACCGCTCTTCTCGAACGCTTTCTTACTGCGCCTTGGCGCATCGAGCAGTTGGTCCTTCATCCGTCGAGGGTTCTTCTGTTGTTCATGGAATTGAGGTCTAGTTTCGCCATATGATGCACCGACCGGCCTTTTTAAAATAGACGAGCGCCACACAAGCCACAATATGCAATACTTTACTACATCACTTAGCGCATATTACATCTCCCCACAGTAGCAGCCATGACTGACTCACCTGAGTTGAACTTGCCAACAGTGCATCGCAGGTCTTCATTAACTGGTTGTCTCCAGGCTGCAGAAAGAGCTTCCAGCAAGTCTACTGAGAGAGGTGTATATATAAAATATATTATATATATATATACATATACATGTTTTTCTATATATTTATAGTAATTTATATATTCCAATACGTAGTATGCATGCCATGCACATCCAGATGTGTCCATACAAATACGCCATCCAAACCGTCACCCCCAAGTGGAGCATCTACATGTGAGGCAGCCCTGGAGCAATCCATGGCTTGCCTCCGATTCTTCATGATGCTTTTGCTTGGCGCAGCCGCCGAGCACTCCATGGCCGCTTGGCAGCCCCGAAAAGGCCAGTCACTAAGCCGCGAGGCGCCGTCAGGCCTGAAGTGGGTGTCCCAATGTCATGGCCGATGGCCGTGGGCAAGAGGTGATGCATGAGTCATCCTATATGTCACATGTGGTGTTTGGGACGTAGGCGTGAGCGAGAAACGTCAGCCGTTATTTGAGCAACGTGCAAATGTGGATGTCCTAAAGTGGCTACTCGCCTGCAGAAAAAGCATAGATCAAGAATCTAGCGCATACTCAAGTCACATGTATCAAACCTGCATCACCGATGGGGGTGACCCGCCTACCGATGTCCTCTCGATGTACCAACCACTTAAGGAAGCACACACTTGGTATGTTGCTCTTCTCCGATTGAGTTGCTTGCACTAGTGGACCTGTCTTGCAGCTGAATCAAACGAATTTGTTTGGCAAACTGGATTGCTGCTAGCCTTTGGACGCTTGCCAGGTGCCACATGTTTTGCCTCTGAACAGCTTTCTGACCGTGCCTCACCGATGCCGACCGGTGCCCGCTTTGCACAGAGCAACCTCCGCCTCCACAGCACACGAAACGCAATAAGCAAGGACAACGGCAAAGGTGGTCTGGCCTGGTCAGAAGCTTTTTAAAGCCACGTTTTTGCTGCAGCTTGGATGTTCAGCAGGCAAACTGGAAAGCAATGAAATATCGCAAAGACAGCGTAGCGGCGTAGCTAACTGTTGCACCGAGCCGGAGACGCACTGTTTTTGCAGCAGGGGCTCCCACAAATGCAAGCTTGATGCAGGCAATAGAGCATGCTGAGGATAACATAGTGGACCTGCTTTGCACCCAACCCTACACACCTGCATCACCAATGGGGCCTGACCCATTCTAGGCCATGTCCTTAGGCTAGATACCAGGTTCGGTCCTGTGCTTTGTCATATGTGGCAGCTATGTTTTATGATATGCACAATATGTTGGTGGAGTCTCTCCGCTCGCCTCAGGACGAAAGCCTTGTGGATACGCTCCGACGGGGCTTTGAAAGCTTGGAGCTGCCGAAGCTTTTCGACACTTGGCCGCCTTCGACACAGTGGCTTTGTGGTGGATATTTCGCAGAGTGGGTGATTTTTTCGCAACACCTCCAAATCTGAAATCTCAATTCACAGGCCATTGGACCGCTTTCAACCGACAGCTTGCACCATGCTTGCAACGTGCTGCCAGGGTTTGGGTCCTTTGGCGGGGTACCTGCAACTGGTGATCTCTACAGCGGCTCCTGACCTATGCGCTTTGCTTGTGGCGGGCGCTGTTTTCTACTTCCTGGGTTCTGCCATGCAGGTGAAGAAGATCCGGAAGTCTGACGGGCGATCGCAGGGGTGTTCTGCGGAGTGCACGTGCAGAGGTGGTAAGTGTGTGTGTGTGTGTGTGTGTGAAGCCCTTGGAATCACAGGGAACCCGTTGGTTAATCACCTTCATTTTTGATTTGGGGAGTCTGCATGATTGTGGGACCGCGCTCAACGAAGCTACCACTTGGCGTACCTGCAGTTTTACTTGAGCAACTTCCTCGTGGCCCCGCTTTTAACTAGAACACAAGAATTCTGGCCATCGCATGCCATCGCATCGGTTTGCCCTCTGCAGTTGTCGTCATCCTGCCGTGGCTTCCGCTTTTCGAGCACTTTGACTTCGGTGGGATTTGAGACTTTCAGATTCACGGTCAAACCAAATTACATACGTTTGGTTGGACGCCGCTCCATTTACCTGTACTCTTGGGAATATGGCTGCTTAGGTTGCCGGGTGGCGAGTGGCCTTCGAGTGGCCTTCGATTGCATAAGCCATATCTTGAGTGCGTGTTCCCTGTGAACGTGGAAGTCATAAATGTCCAGATTCCAGGTGAAGGCCCATGGTCACAAAGTCTGAGTTCTTGGATTGCGGTTTGCTGGAGTTTCTCGCGCGTTGTAGTCATGTTTCCGCTGAGTCTTGCGAGCAAGGCATCGGTACCAACGTTTTTGCAAGCCTCCAAGGTGGTCTAACACTGAACTCTTCTCTAAATGTTCATATTCCTGTAGTTGTTCCTACATCCAAGCTACACTCCATCAAGCATGGAAGTTGACCACCCCTGTTTGCAAACGAACAAATCATCCAAGGATCTCACTTCCCTGCTTTGCCAGTGGGAACGTAAGCCTTGGTAAAACGTGCAGTTTCGAAGCCTTCCAAGAGCTTCCAAGCTCCTGTGGCTGTTTTGTTTCATCTCCCTGTGTTCCGCCCACAGCGCAGGTGGCACGACGTGAAATGAAGCCTGCCGAAGAGGTGGAGGATGAGATGGGCGACTGGTCACAGGCGGCCTGCAACACGGAAAGAAACCCACCCAAAGCCCAAACTGCTTGGCCTTGCACAAACGATACAAGGCCATTACGAGTTGCAGCAAGACCAAAGAATCAACTTTATCCGTTCAATTCCATTGTTGCCTTGTCAGAGGCAGTCAAGTTATCAGCATGGGAGTTTATTATCCACTGTGGTGTGGTCGTTCAGGCAGCCAGCTTCCATTCCAGGGTAATCGGTGCATGTCAATTAGGCTGACGGTGCATGTCAGTTCCAGCGCGCACACACACACACACTGGTTGCACGTCGCCTCATGGGTTTCAGGCTCCCGAGATCTCGGGCTGCTCACCATTGCACCTGGCGGCGCACAACGGACGCTTGGAACACCTGGAGGAGCTTCTCAGCTCAGGCGCTGGGTGGAACTGGAACGTGGGTGGAGCCGGTTTCTGGAAGGGAGACGAAGTCATAAGACACTGGAGGACTATGCAGAGGATTTTACTTGCTTCAGGCCTAAACGCACCCATGTCATGAGACTGCTTTCAACATTTTTCAACTATATATACCCTGCCTAGCCTTGCCTACTATCACGGCGCCTGGCTATGCCTTCCCTATTCGGAGACGGACCAATCTAGGCACTAGGCCACTAGGCCCTAGGCACTGCAACTTGTCTTGCTAGGGGCTGCAGTCAACGCCACGGACAACTACAACGAGACGCCCTTGCATATGGCAGCACGCGGCGGCTATGTGGTAGCTTGGCTGCATGTATTACAAAGGAAGCCATGAAAAGAAACCAGAAGAGATGCAACATCGATTGAGAAATCATACATGCAAGCACACGGAGCATGAACAGAGATGCGATTTTGTTTCCTTATCGCAGCCACTTTGAGTTCTATGTTTGTTTAGGACATTTGCGACGTCTTGCTGCACTATGGCGCTGATCCCCGGGCGCTTTGGGCGAGAAAATGCGAGACGACCCATGTGGCCGCAGAGGTCCCATTGCAAA